AATTAGCCTCTCATCTTGGCTGTTACTGGCGTATACAAAGGCTACTGACTTGTGGACATTGATTTTATATCCTGAGACATTACTGTATTTTTTGATGACTTCCAGGAGTCATGTGGTTGAGTCTTTGAGGTTCTCTAAGTATAAGATCATATCATCAGCAAAGAGGGAAGAGTTTGACCTCCTCTGCTCCCATTTTGATGCCCTTTATAAAATCTTCTGACAAAAAAAATGCCCTGATCCAGATGGCATCACACCAGAATTCTATCAAACCTTTAAAAAAGAGCTTATTCCCATACTGCAGAAATTATTCCAAAAAATTGAGGAGGAAGAGGTCTTCCCCAACACATTCTGTGAAGCAAACATCACCCTGGTACCAAAACCAGGAAAAAACCCAACCAAAAAGGAGAACTTCAGACCAGTTTCACTAATGAATATAGATGCAGAAATTCTCTACAAAATCCTAGCCAATAGATTACTGCTTATCATCAAAAAAATCATACAAAATGATCAAGTAGCTTTCATCCCAGGGATGCAAGGCTGGTTTAACATACGGAAGTCCATAAACGTTATTCACCATATCAACAGAAGCAAAAACAAAGACCATATGATCCTCTCAATAGATGCAGAAAAGGCATTGGATAAAATCCAGCATCCTTTCCTAATTAGCACACTGAAGAGTATAGGCATAGGTGGCACATTTCTTAAACTGATCAAAACAATCTATGACAAGGACAAATCCACAGCTAATATTTTACTGATTACAATAAAACTGAAAGCTTTTTCCTCTTAGAACTGGAACTACACAAGGTTGTCCTCTGTCACCATTACTATTTAACATAGTGCTGGAAGTTCTAGGCTTGTGTCACTCTTAATGGCATTCATTTTAGATTTGAAAGAAAATCTTGTTTCATATACCCCTTTTGAAAACACTTCTGTAGTACTCCACATACTCACATGTGGCTTTAGTTTTATTTAACCAGACCTCATGAGTACTCCTGGAGTATACCCATTATTTTAATATTCTAATTCTTGTGAGGGTTAATTCCTCAGATGTAAAGATGGCTGGAGGATCTTGTCTGATTTAAGATCAAGCACAATTACTAGTGTGGACAGAAGATGAAGGGCAAAAGCGTCAGCAGGTTTTCTAATAAGGATACAGTTAGCTGTACAAAAAACATTGGTTGCAGGGAGTAAAACAAACTAAAATAACTAAACGGTTTGCAGGAGATATGACTTTGACTTAGCTGTTTTCATCATATTCCCTCAGATAAATATAAAGATAATTAAATAGCTTTGGGTATTTCCAAGATTGCCCAACCAATATGTTGAAATGACATATGATTATTTTGTACTCGATTTGTGAAGGTTTAATAGTTACGGTATAAATATTCAGATTTTGGTGAGCAACATTGTAGTTGTGTCAGCATATCCACTGTAAACGCAGTTCTAGAGCACAAAGAAAGAAGCTACACTGACAAAGTTTGTGTTTTTTCGAAGAAAGAAGTAGCTTTCTGGGATGACTTGTGAGTTTATAATGTAACAAAATGTAATTTTTTGGGTCTTTTTTGAAGGATAACCTTTTCTTTGCACTTAGTGTTGCTGAGGAAACCTACAGTTCTACTTTGATAGTTGATGATGTTTTGCATCTCCGAATCCCTTGGAGTACGGTTAGGGAAGAGAAAATAGGGATGGAGTTTTTTAAGGAACCGAGGGATTTTGAGCATGAACAAATTTTAAAATGCTAACCTATAAAAGGGAGATTTGCTGCTTTCAGCATAATTCCAGATGAAAGGAGGCAGGTTCATAGAGAAAAGTTGCACAGAGAGAGAGATTTCTGAATAAGTTTCGGGAAGACCTTTATAATAAACTGTATGTAGCAGTGATTCAGCCGTCACAGGGACATGCGGTGACTGTTCTGGACATTTTTCAACAGAGGTTAAACCCTGTCAGCCATATTTTATAAGAGGAGAGGAAAACCTACATTAAATTAAAACTAAATGGCCATTCAAAATATGAGCATCTGTAAATCTAATTTATTCTCTGTTCTCAATCTCATTTGTGAAGTGTGATGCCTGCTGCAGCGGTAGATTGTGTTAAGAATCGTATTGATGGGTGCGTGCTGACATGAAGCTTAACCCATTCTCTTACATTAATTGCTTTTTGAAAAAAAAGAATCTATGAGTTAATGTGATTATGTTTTCCTCCTTGGCTCTGTCTTGTTAAAGGAGGGAATATAAAGGGGCCTTTTATAAAAGCACCATTCATCCCATCAGTATGATAGAACACCCAGCATAGGCTAGCATCAGAATCGAGGGGCAAAGCGTCAGAGTTCATCCTGTCATGTACCTTTGTTTCATTCCTTTTCTCTCTTCATCTCTGTAGCCCTGTAACCTTGACAACAGATAATGTTGAAATCAGAAATAGATAGCCAAAGATCACCCTAACACATGACAAAAAAATATAAATTTTGTTATATCATAAAGCCAATTCATTCTGTGCACACACATAAACTCAGATGATCGAAAAACTCTGTCCTTTCCAAGTTGGTTATGGCTGACTTGAGGCTAATTGCAAAGTCCTATTGGCTATTACCTGGCTGGGCTCAACTATAATTCTTGGTGAGGGTTATATATGTTTGCTTTAGGAGCGAGGTCAGCAACATACCTATGCTAGTGTGCTTCTGGATAAACTTTCCAAATGAAGCTCATATCCAAGAAGAGAATAATAGCAGAAAAGATAGAATAAGTGAAAAAATCAGGAATAAGTAGGACTATAGAAGCACAGTCCATCACACTCACTCTGCAGCATAGCTAAGTCTTATTTCATGACTATAATGTGTTAATATATGTACCCTTTTTAATTTTAAATGTTATAATTTCCCCTGACCATGTGTTATGGGCATTCCAGTCCATCTTTCTAAAAAGGTATATGAGGCAGCCTTGCTCCATGCTAGACATCTTACAAACTTTTACGTAACCCAGGTATGTCTGTGTTTTAGTGCCTCGTATCTATTTGGGTGGTGAAATGTCATCAAAGTTTTTTTTTTTTTTTTCCCTAAACACTATGAATTTTCAACCATGTTTTCTTGAGAACAGCTAACTTGGGCATGCTGGCAAGAAAAGAACTGCCGTTCCCATCCCTTGCCGTGTGACACTGCTCACTTTCACCCCCATAGCTCTTGGCAACAGACAACTGCAGCACAGGCTGGGGCTCAAGACTGCCCCCAATATTTGAAGCCACATCAGCTCTTTCAAGTTTAAATACTCCTTTTCCTTGACTTTAGCCGCTACTTAAAAATTATCACAGAAACAAGACACCCAGGAAGTTGACAAACGAGATGCTTTTCCTGTCCTAGAAATGCTTCATAAACTGGAGGCTAACTACACTTCTGATCCCCAAATGTGGAATAACTATCATGCAAACTAGACTTTATCTTAGAAATTCAACTTTATACTGCATCCTCTCCCACACATTGAACTTCCAAACACGTTACTGTGTGTAAGGAATGTTCAGCTTTCATTTTAAAATTAACCATAGCAACTTCATAGAATGTGTAAAATTGCCTCCCTCTATACTGATGGCATTTACAGGTGTGTTGAGAACAAGTCTGATAAACATTTCACCAAGAAGAGTTCTCCTGGAATGTCATTCTTGGGAAAGGCAGTGAAGTCTGCTGTTTGTGTTGGGTGCCACCTCGTAACATCTGGTAGGGAGATGTTCCCTGAGAATGTGAGATTAAAGTCATCCCTCCAGGGCTTCTCTGGCACTAGAACTGAAGCAAAGGGGAGATGTAGCAACTCCGGACAGGCCTTGGCAATCACACCAGTTAAACTGGGGCAAAGGGTGCAGTGTTTTTCAGCCTTCTGCCTTCTAATTGACTGTATCAATCAGAAAGTGTTGACTAATCCTTTTCAATTCTATTTAATTTGTAGCCACCCTTGTGTTCCCCTTTCGGAGGCAGTTGTTGCAAAGGAGTTTGGTGACTTTATTAAACTGATTGCAGGGGCATGTCATGTAGCTTTTGAGATGTTTTCTCAGTAACTCGGATGTCAAGAACAGAATGACAGTCATTTGTGCTTCTTTATATGTTGAGTGTAGCGTTTTCAGCCAGTGACAGCTTCACCATGGTTCACTATTAGAATAAAAAAGTCCTTAAGTGTAATAAGCAGTGGCTTACATTCCCAAATGGTAACAAATACCACGTTTATGACTTACCTCTCTCTCAGGAGGGAGCAGTTCCACCTCTAAATAAAAAACTAACTGTGAGGATGTCCATGGTGAGCACTATTGGTGCAATTAGGCCCGTGCGCGATGGAAGCTGCTGTTCTCAAAAATGAAATATTGAACTGGAGTCATCATTGTACATTCAGAGATACAAAGAGAGAGGATGGATCTGTATTTCAAATATTGGTGATGCTATTGGCTTGGACACGTTCCCTTTTATTGGGTCTGTTTTGCAAGCCTAAATTTGAGCCTGAAGAGTTTCTCCATATAAATGTCTTAAGTATTGCAGTGGCACATCCATCACCTTTTTGCTTTTGAATTACAAAGATAACCTTAAGATATGAGCCTCATACTGGGCCATGTGATACGTACACAGAAAGGGTGAGCCTCCTCAGTGATGAAATCAGCCAATGCCCAAGAGGAAAGTAATAGGCAGAAAGGATAGAGCTGATGAAAAAATTGATTCTTTTCCATTAAACTGTACGTGACGTGTTTTTTATGAAGCAGGCATCAGCTGAAAGGAAAATATTTTTTCAACTGAAAGGAGATTGATGGTGAGGGATTGGGGGATAAATATGTGTCTTATTCTATTACTGTCTCCCATAAGGAGAAAGTTGAAAGGCCTTCCTTTGTATTACTGTGAGTATTTACTTGAATTTGGTGGTATTAAAAGTTTTTAATTTTAACCATGGCTCTTTTTTTTTTTTTTTTAAGTACATGCAAACCTCACACGTTATTATTTTCTCAATTCTAAAATAGACATTGCTTGTTTTCAGGTTTACCAAAGATGCAGGTCATTCGGAACTACTCTGGAACGCCACCGCCAGCTCTCCATGAAGGACCACCCTTATACATCCAGGCAGGGGATACGGTGGAACTTCTGAGAGGAGATGCACACAGCCTGTTTTGGCAGGTACTATCCAAATTATAATTTGTCAGATTTAATGGATGATTTCTTACTGCTTTAAAGGATAAAGCTCTGATTTGTAGAAACGGATGGCATGCTTTCAGCTTCAGAAATTTCACATGATAGGAGAGAAACTATTTTTTATTAACCTTCCCCATATTTACCAAGCCAAAGTGACAGTGAGTCAGTGAGCATTAGAACGCTAGAGAAAAATATCATCAGTGCTGTGGGTCATAATTATCATTTTTATTAAAAAATTTCATACTCTTTCGGAGCATTTTTTCCACCCCTAGGACCTGTGGGTATGGCCTAATTTGCATGGCTTTAATACGTTAACAGTTCACGGGGGTGGAGGGGGTGGGGGGTGGGGACACTACCTAGTTAGCTTGCCAGGGGCCATGTTTGACCATGCATGATTTTTTGCCTGCCCATAGTAATACCTGAGGTTCTCAGAGGGTCTCTGGGCATTATTCACAAAATATATGAAATGTGAAAAGGGAGCCACATTCGTGTTTGCTGGCGACGAAGTCGCTCTTGGCCAGTAGGCCTCTATTTGGTTCAAGTATTTTGTTAACTGGGGTATCGCATTCAGATTTGACAAAGTTTATGGCAGAACACGGCTGTTCATTAAATTATTTTTTGTTTAATGAGTAAGTTGGAAATATTTCCCAAAGGAGTTGAAGAAAGCATTTATTAAAAACCTATCGTGCACTGAGGGAAAAGAGAGAAACAGAAAGATTAGCACATGGGTGAAATTTTGTTAGCAGACAAAGAGAAAGCCGAGGCGAACCATGGGATCATAATCCATTGTGCACGGAAGGAAGTAATAGCTGTTTTATTTGCTTAAATCTATTTTATTTTCTACTACCTTGTTACATAAGAATGTCCCCTCCATGGAGCATTTATCTCCAACTGCCACTTCAATTGCTATATCCAATTACTATTCAAAAGCTCTTACCATTCTTTGTAAGTGTCTTGTTCTTCTTGTCCAGGGAAAAGAAGCCATACTCACTAAAATGATTTAAGGCGGTTTATTCTGAGCCACATTTGAGGACCATGATCCAAAGGCACGAAGCCTTGAGCATGTGGGGTTACAGTTTAGTTTTATACATTTTAGGGAGACAGGAATTACAGGGGAGCTCATAAATCAATATGTGTAAACATACATTGGTTTGACCCCCAAAGGTGGGACATCCAGAAGCGGGAGGTTATACTTTCTAGATGGTTTTAAAGATTCTCTAGCTGATAATTAGCTGCAAGCGTGAGGCTCTGTCTGAAAGACCAGGAGTCAGTGAAAAGGAATGCTTCAGATAAAAGGTCTATTGGGCTAGTCAGAGACAAAGTACCAGACGACTCAAGTGGTTTGTTCTGCATATTGAGGCCCTGCAGGTAGGTCCTGTATAGCTTTAGGGCTGTTAGTGAGTCACAAAGGACGGCTCTGAGAAGGGGAGGGACAGGATGAGGCAGGTCTGATCTCCTTTCTCATGGCCAGCAACTCCGTTTTAGGGATCTTCTTGGCCAAGAGGGAGTCCGGTCAGTCTGTCGCTGAGGGGACAGCCCTCATATTTTTAGTTTACACTCTCAAACCTCATCCTTTTCAGGTAAGGAAGAGAGAGAATAACAAACTTGCTTTCTGTCAACTCTTGAGTTGGTACAATCTCCCATCTCTCAGTCACAAAACATACCTGTGTTTGTAGCCAGAAAGTTCTTCTTTGTCAAGATTTATCTTCTTGGATGTTCTAGCTCATAATCCTGGAGTGTCCAACCTGTGGCCTGGGGGTCTGCAGGGCTGCCAGCAGATTTTTTGAAAACTGTTGTGTCTATCTGTGGTGTCTGATATCATGGAAAGTATGCATGAACCTTTTCTCTTGCCGATCAGCTTTTTCCTTTTGTTTGTGTATTTAATGTGTGGGCCGAGACAACTCTTATTCTTCCAGTATCTGGCAGAAGAGGAAAAAGGTGCCAGGTATGGTGGCTCACGCCTGTAATCCTAACACTCTGGGAGGCAGAGGCAGGTGGATTGTTTGAGCTCAGGAGTTCAAGATCAGCCTGAGCAAGAGCCAGACCTTATCTCTTTAAAAAAAACAAAAAAACAAACAAACAAAAAAAACAAGTTGGACACCCCTGGGATTCCATTAGCTGGCTCTTGACCCCTAAATGTTCAGCTTTATTCTCTCCACTGGGTCTTTTCCTATAGCATATAAATATGCTCAAATATGTACAACTCAACCTTTTGTCTGGTTACGTCAGGCTCCCTCACACACTCTCACTCACTTTTTCTCCCACACCCACGGATGAGCTGGTTGGGGAAGTCGTCCAAGCTCACGTTCTACCCCTCCATGTCCTCTTCATAATCCAGTCTGCTGTAGAAACTACTCCTGCTTGGATCACTGGTAGTACCACTTGTTGCAAAAATGGTTTTAGATATATGAAAAATTATCTATTTTAAGTGTGCAATTTGATAAATTTTAACAAATGCATATACAAGTGAAGCCATCACTGCAATCAAGATAATAAACATATCTGTCAGCCTTCAAAGTTTTTGTGCCCCTTGGAATCCCTCCTTTATGACCCTGCCCATTGCCTTGCTGTCCTGCCAATCCAATCGTTAGGCCAGGGTTCCTCAAACTTTTTAAACAGGGGCCAGTTCACTGTCCTTCAGACCATTGGAGGGCCAGACTGCGGGCCTCAGGATGAGTCGGCTGCTAAGCAGGACAGGCAGTGGTGCAAAAACACCCAGCGGGCTGGAGAAATGTCCTAGGTGGGCTACATGTGGCCCACGGGCCGTAGTTTGAGGATGCCTGCCTTAGGCAATCAATGTTCTGCTTTCAAACTATAGAAGAGTTTGTACTGTCTAGAATTTTATGTTATATTTCATATACTATGCGATATGATAATATATGATATTATTGATATATATATTATATAATTATATAACTATATACATTTCATATATTATTTTTGAGTGGCTTCTTTCACATGGCATCATTATCTTGAGAGTCAACTGTGTTCCTGTATGTAATAATAGTGCTTTCTTCTTTATTATTATTATTATTATTTTTTGCTGATCATTTCATGTGTGAATATAGCACCATTTGTTTAGCCATTAACCTGCTGATGGACATTCAAGTTGTTACTAGTTCTGAGCTATTACAAATAAAGCTTGTATGAACATTCACGTCTAATTCTTTGTATGGACATAATGCTTTCATTTTTCTTGGCTAAATATCATGAGGGGAATGGGTCAATCATATGTAAGTAATATGTTTAAGTTTTTGAGAAATTACCAAGCGGCTTTTCAAAGTGACTGTGCCTTGTTACATTTCTACAAGTTCTATATGAGACTTCCAGGTGCTCCATATCCTTGCCGACATTGGGCATGCTCACTCTTTAATTTTATTTATTCTGTCAGATGTGTAGTGGTTTCTCATTGTAGGTTTGATTTACATTTTTCTAATGACTAACAATGTTCAGATTAAGTAACATAGTTTGCTTTTTTAAGGTAGAAGTCCAAGTTGTTGTAATGTTGAACGTCTTTTAATGTGCTTATCTCCCAGCCATATACCGTCACCAATTTGAGAGCTTCTTAGACATTTTAAGTACAAGTCCTTTATAAAATATATTATTTCCATATATTTTCTCCTAATATTTGGCTTGTGTTTTTTAATTTCTTAGTAATGTTATTTATAGAACAGACGTTTTTACTTTTGACATAGTCCGATTTACTTTTGTTAATTTGTTCTTTTATAGACCATGCTCTGGGTCTAAAATAGCTAAGAAATTGTTGCCTATCTCAGAATTACATTCTCTTTTATTTTCTTCTAGAATTTTTATAGTTTTAGATTTTATATTTAGGCTTATGATTCATTTTGTCTTATTTTTGAATATGCTACTATTTGGTGGTTTTTTTTTCTGTTTGTGAACATCTAGGTGTTCCAGCAGCATTTGTTGAAAAGGCAACCATTTCGTTGCTGGATTCCCTTGCACTTTTGTAGACGATGAGTTGTCCGCATATATGTATGCCTCTCTCTGGGTTCTGTGTTTGTCTATTGATCTCTTTCTCCGACTTTATGTCGATACAGTGCTCTCTTGATGGTTGCAGTTAATAAAAAGTGTTGAAGTCAGATCATGTTACTCCTCCAAATTTGTTCTTTTTTTTTCCCCCGAAGATGTTTTGGGTGTTCTTGGCCCTTTTCATTTCGTATAAATTTTGGAATCACTTGTCAATATTACCAATAAAAACCTACTGAGATTTTGATTGGGATTTCATTGAATGGTGGATCAATAGGGGAGAATTGATATCCTGACACAGTATTGAGCCAGTCTCCTGATCACTAAACATGCTGTCCTCTCCATTTATGTAGGTCTTTAATTTTTCAGTAGGGTTTTATAGTTGTCAGAGTTAAGGTCATACACCTGCTTTGTAAAATTTATTTGTACTTATTTCATGTTTCATTTTGATGGTTGCTGGGGTCCTGCCCCGGGGGCAGCGTCCTTTAAGGCCTATGCAACCAGCTGCAATCAACTGGGAAAAATGAAACTAAAAGTGGTGAGAGATAAAGAGACACCAGAATGGAGTTTTCAAAGGTGGGCAGAGGGGACCCCCCGTAGCTTCTGGGTCTTCAGTGAGTGGCCCTGGGAGTGCTTGTTCCATGCAGCTTTTATTGAAGGCTCTTTTCTCATTTAGCAGAGAGGGTAAGCTGAGGAAGGGAGTAAAAACATCAGTAGTTTCTCTGGGTACGCATGTTAGCTCTTATTTTGTCTACAATCATTAACTTTAAGGGCCTGGGCAGCCTTGAGAAATCTGGAACCTGAGCCGTGTGTGGGAGCAGCCTCCGGTTTGTGGTCACGTGCACAGATCCCTTAGGGGAGGTTAGACCCTTCGGTTTCTCTATGGAGCAGACATGGTGGCATCAGTTCTCCTCTGAAGAATCTGTGGAAAAGAGGAATTTTCCCCTTATCCCCACCTGGAGGCATTTCCCTTCATGGTTAGGGTACAAGGCCTC